GGTATGGGCAGAGGGTGGGGTGGGAACCGTGTGGAGGGGAGCTATGGGGGGGAAAAAAAGGAACAACTGTAATAATCTGAACAATAAAGATTTAATTTAATAAAAACACACAGCGAGGCTGCATTTGGAAAATGTCATATAAAATTTTATAACAGCCCAGCCAGTGTGGCTCAGTGGTTGAGGGTCAACCTGTGAATCAGGAGATCATGGTTCGATTCCCGGTCAGGGCACATGCCCAGGTTGCCAGCTCGATCCCCAGTAGGGAGGAGTCAGCCAATCAATGGTTCTTTCTCATCATTGATGTTTCCAGCTCTCTCTCCTTCTCCCCCTTCCTCTCTAAAATCAATAAAAATAAATTTTAAAAACATTTTATAACAGAATTGTTTCAACTTTCATATCCAGAAGTTTCTCAAATAATTCCATTTTGTTCATTCAAAACTGCTATCCAGATAAAAGTAAAAAGAAAAGGTGCTAAATATTTTTCTTACAAAACCTAGAATACCTTACCATATTCTAAGTCAATATTTTGCAAAGCAACCCACAGCAATAAATACATTATAATCATGATCTAGAACATATACATCCCTTAGACAATTTTTTTTGAATCAGTATTTACCATCACTATGTGTGAAACACTGTAATATTTTCTGTTATATTTATTATTTTAAAAAAATACTTGTCATCACCCTATAAATTTATTATATAATTTATTAAGAGGTCACAACCCACCATTTGAAAACTACTGTTCTAAGTAATCTCTTTATTTAAGTAATAAAATGTGGAGATGATCTGCTTCTGGCATATGTTTCCAACAGGCTGACTTGTCTTTTTTTTTAAATAATATCATTTAATAATTGACCCGACAACCAGAACAAATTAGTTTTTCAATTATTTAAAAGTCCTACAAAATATTTAATGTGGACAAGGCACTATAGCTGAAAGAGCATGTTTGGTTTTTATTCTCAAGATTTATAGTGATAAAATCTAGAGGAGAATTAAAAATTAATAAACAGTATTTTAAGTGATGAAAGTGATAACAACACACCGTGACTTTTAATAGGCATTTAGGAAAGGTAGAAAGATTGAGGATTTGATGGTAGAAGGTTAACATGAATGTGGGGTGGATTTTGCATTGTCATGTGTTAGAAGATTGGAAAAAGCAATTACATATGCTAGAAGACAGCATTCATGTAGGTCAGGGGTCCTCAAACTTTTTAAACAGGGGGCCAGTTCACTGTCCCTCAGACCGTTGAAGAGCCGGACTATAGTTAAAAAAAAACTATGAACAAATTCCTATGCACACTGCACATATCTTATTTTGAAGTAAAAAAACAAAATGGGAACAAATACAATATTTGTATTTGCATGTGGCCCGCGGGCTGTAGTTTGAGGACCCCTGATGTAGGTGCACAGTACTTCTTGCTCATGCTTGAAGTTCACTTATTGGGTAATGTTTAAGATAAATTAACAGAAATTAAGATTAAAAGTATAGTAAAGTGCTGAAATTATACAGTATAAACAAAATATGTTATTTTAGCTCTACTGTGGTTATAAAATGAGGTGGAGTCAGGAGATTAATTAGAAACTTGTGTGCATCATGGCTCTGCTATAAGCCAATATTTGCCCTAAAATGATAAAGTTAACATTGAATTACTAGGTTTCCTGGAATGAAGATAGTTTCTAAATGATGGGGAGAGAGAAGGCTCACTTGTCAAAATAACCCAATAAAGGTGCTACTATTCTATATATAATTGTTCTTCATAGAACAAAAATGGATTATATAATAGTATTTTTAGAAAAGTTATATGCTATTTTAGCTATGCAATAGAAAATGTTGTAGTTGCTTGATAGGCCCAGGCTCATCCTTTCTTCTCTAAAAAGAATTGGGGTGCTTAGGATGGTAAGCACAACCAGATGTGCTGCAAAAGCCTTAAGAAAATGAGCGGTGGACTATCTTTTTGTCTTTTAACTGCTGCTGTAGAAGATATTTGTGACCTAAAGGAAAAGAAGATTCAGCTTGTGATGATAATTGGGGAAGAACCACCTGCCCTAAAAGTGTGGTCTAGCCTTCTGTCTCCTGTTACTTTAAGGCACCAGAGGTTTATGAGTTTTTGTCATTCTTCCATGTTGAGTTTGGAAGTTAGCAGAAGGATAACTATCTCATTTTGTTAGACTTCCAGACTACTGAAAAGAAGGTGCTTTCAGAACTGGGGATGTGAATAAGACGCCTGTGCCAGGGCTCATGAACCACCTTAAGGTAATTAAAATATTTTTTACATAGATTTTATTTTTCAGAGCAGTTTTAATTTTACAGAAAAATTGAGAAGATAATACAGGGAGTTCACATATACCCTGCACCCCATTTCCTCTCTTATCAATAGCTTACATTAGCATGGTACATTTGTTAAAATTAATTGAACAGTATTGAAACATTGTTATTAATTAAAATTCATATTTTAGTTAATTCAGATTTCCTTCGTTTTTACCTAATGTGTTTTCTGTTTCTTGTTTCCTGAGACTCTTCTTAGCTGTGACCATTTCTCAGACTTCCCTTGTTTTGATGACCTTGTCAGGTTTTTTTTTGTTTTAATATGTGTATTTTAAATTTGTTCTATTAAATCTTTATTGTTGAAAGTATTACATATGTCACCATTTTCTCCCCATTGACCCCTTCTAGCCCACCCCTGCCCCCTGCCTTCACCACCCTATTGTCTGTGTCCATGGGTTATGCATATAATTGCATACAAGGTCTTTGATTGATCTTTTCCCACCCAGCCACCCCTTCCCTCTGAGATTCGACAGTCTATTCCATGCTTCTGGATCGATTTTGTTCATCAGTTTATTTTGTTCATTCAGTTTCACATATGAGTGAGATCTTGTGATACTTATTTTTCTCTAACTGGCTTATTTCGCTTAGCATAGTACTCTCCAGGTCCCTCCATGCTGTCTCAAAGGGTAAGAAATCCTTCTTTTTAACTGCTGTATAGTATTCCATGGTGTAAATATACCACACCTTTTTAATCCACTCATCTGCTGATGGACACTTAGGCTGTTTCCAAATCTTAGCTATTGTAAATTGTGCTGCTATGAACATAGGGGTGCATACATTCTTTCTGATTGCTGTTTTGGGTTTCTTAGTGATCCTAAAAGTGAGATCACTGGGTCAAATGGCAGTTCCATATTTAATTTTTTGAGGAAACTCCATACTGTTTTCCATAATGGCTGCACCTGTCTGCATTCCCACCAGCAGTGTACTAGGGTTCCCTATCCTCCACATCCTCGCCAGGACTCACCTCTGAGTCAAAACAGCTAGGGTTTGACAATGCTTTTGATGATTCTTTTAATGTGAATATTGTTTGGGTTCATGTATCTCTCTTTAGAATGTAAAAGAATATGAAATAGATGCAGCATTTATGTGACTGTTTGGATTCCACTGTAATGAAAATCATAGAGGTCGATAGTTTTATAAATTATTTAGAAGACTCATTTAGGGAAAATAACTTTCATGTTCATATCTTTCCCTTGTTATTTGGTAGCACCTTTATATATATACTAGAGGCCCAGCGTGCGATTGAAATCACATGAGGAGGCACCCCGCCTCCCGCCATGCGAGGAGGTGCCGCGGGAGTCAAGCCGGACCTGCATCGCAGGCAGCTGGGAGCCTAACTCGAGGAGTGCCGGGCTGCCGCGGGAGTCAGGCCTGACTGGCATCTCGGGTGGCCAGGACCCATACCTGAATTCCACCCCAGGCCACCCTGGCCCCCCTGCCTGTGTCCACTCTGGGCTGCTGGAGCCACCGCGCCAGCTCGGGGAGGACCCATGTGTCTGTCTCCATCTCCACTCCGGGCCTCACCTGTGTGCACAACCTCCTCCTGTCTGGTCGTGACCCATTACGGTGTCCTGGCCTAATTTGCATATTACCTCTTTATATGTATGGCCCAGTGCACAAATTCGTGCACATAGAAAGGGAATTAATTAGAAGAAATATTTTAATATCACTATTTGCCAAGTCCTGGGTTGGGTATCCGGCTCCCTCCTCCCTCCTGTCAGAGTCTGTGATGGCTCCCGCGGGGATGCTGCATCAAAGCCGGCGCCCCATGGGGCTGCGGGACTCCCCTGAGTCCCAGAGTCCCGCAGCCCCACAGGGCCGGAGCCCCAGGGGACATAGGGCTGGTGAGGGGGATGAGAGTGGTGGCCTGGCTCTAAGAAAACCACCCTGGGCATCCCTGGGTTACCTTGGGTTCCCTGTGAAAATGGCCAGAACCTCTGGGTTCCCCTGTGAAAAGGGCCAGAGGCGTCGGGGCTGAGTGCAGAGCCAGCAGCGGCAGTGGTGGAAGAAGCTGTCATGGTTGGCACTTTGCCTATCACGGTGGTGGGACTGCCGCAAAGAGCAGAACATGCCTTGGTGGGAATGTCTCTATCAAGCGAGCTGGGTAGGGGCTGTTTTAGAATGTGGCTGCCTGGCTACCAGGGTTCCACATTCTGTTTGGCTCCATTGTCAGGACGTGAGATCACTGCTCTTATCAGGAAATGAAATCACTGCTCTTGTGTGGGGAGAAGCTCAGGGTAAGGGACCAGGCACTGACCAGGGAGGTTTTCTGTCATGTTCATACCCCAGGTCAAGGCTGGGGGGAGGATGTGGAGTGTGGGCAGCTCCCACTACCCCAGGTTTATCCCGACACTGGAGCTGAATCTCATTTCCCCCGGGGGGAGGTGAAGTGGGGGTGGTGCCCTTTGCCCTGATGTTTAGCCTGTGGGGTGACTCCCCCAAGTACCACCCCATGGCCGGCGCCCTGCGGGACTCCCCCGATGCACCTTCTGGTCAACTTCCCTCCAGCGACCTCATGCACACAGCGTCAAGCCCAGCCCCACCCACCTGCATGTGCCCGCTATGTGCGCACAGCCATCTTGTGACAGCGTGATGGCGTGAGGACCACCTAGGCCAGTGGTCGGCAAACTCATTGGTCAACAGAGCCAAATATCAACAGTACAATGATTGAAATTTCTTTTGAGAGCCAAATTTTTTAAACTTAAACTATATAGGTAGGTACATTGTTTTTAACTTAATTAGGGTACTCCTAAGGCTTAGGAAGAGCCACACTCAAGGGGCCAAAGAGCCGCATGT